AGGGAAAAGTAGAATTGGTAGAACACTAATAAACGTGTGTACCTAACCATTACATGTCCTTGGCAATGCTCTCACTAATCTTTCCATATCAACATGATTCATAAGATTATAGTATCACATTGATAAAAAAATATTTCTTTTGAGGCCTTCCAAACCATTTAGGGATCCTATATAATCTACAATTATGTTATTTGTTTCATGCTTACAGCTTATAGACCAACTTGGACGTCATTTCGCTTTTGTCTTGAAGTATGATTTTGGTCTCGTCTAAAAAATAAGCTTGAATTGTGTGAGACCCCCCAACTAATTAGACCACGAGCTTAAGAAAAAACACACAGATGGTTTACATTATTACCGAACTAAACGTGCATACCTAACCATAGGCCTTCCCTACAACACTGTCTTAAAATTATGCATTTTTAGAGAGCCTTTAAGTAAAGTATTTACGTTCAATTATACCATAAACATATGTGACACGTGTTCATTATTGAACTTAAAAGTGTAACTTGATCAACTTCAAAATCTTATTAATACGACTGAGATCGATGACACTCTGATTTCTTGTCTTCTTCACTCTCCTCCAACTAGCTCGACAAAAACCTTCGACGATGTCGTTGTTAATGGCGGCCAAATCCACTTCACTCTTAAGCTCAAACCCTTCAATTTCAGCCAGAACAGGGCAAAACCCTCGCGCAGTCAGATCGGCTTCTTATCCGACGGTGAGAATGCAGTCACGTGTTCACCGTCTGATTGAAAAGCAAGGCGCCGTGCTTATTCCCGGAGTCTACGACGCTTTATCGGCTGCTATTGTGCAGCAAACCGGTTTCTCCGCCGCGTTGATCTCCGGTTACGCTCTCTCCGCCGTTACTTTGGGAAAACCCGATTTCGGTTTGATAACGTAAGCGTACGCCGCCGCTTTAATCTCCGGTTTCTTCTTTAGTCGGAAACTTTGTCTTCTGTCATTTTAGTCGTTTTCTTTTGCCGTTTTAGACCACCGGAGATGGCAGCAACGGCGAGGGCAGTGTGTGCTGCTGCTCCAAATATTCCAATCATTGCGGATGCAGGCAAGTCCTGAATCTGGTCTCTTTAACAAAAATCATTACTTTACATAGAAAGATGTGTGATTTCTAGACTCTAGCCTAGAGTCTCTAGGTGGTCTAATTGACGTCAATGATAGTTGAATACTTTGGTCTTTGATTTGCTTAGAGATTATTGCAAATTTCATTTTAGTTGAATGGCTTGTTATTGAGCATCTCAAAACAATGATCAGATGCTGTGTCATGTTTCTCTGAGGTTGCGTTGTCAAGATTCATTCTTTGACATTGTTTCAGATACTGGCGGAGGAAATGCTCTCAATGTTCAAAGAACCATCAAGGACTTAATCGCAGCAGGTGCTGCTGGTTGCTTCCTTGAGGTATGCCTTTTTTCTTTTCATACTACAGTCTTTGGCTTCTACTGATGGTTGAATGAATCTCTAGATGATTCTCACACAGTTATATTGATGTCTTTACATGTGTTTGATTAGATTGCCATAGTTGTGGTCATTTGAGTAATTACAAAACAGCTTCTTCCGTACCCTTCACCTTGACTTGTGCTAATATTAATTGGGTTTCTTGCAGGACCAAGCATGGCCAAAGAGGTGTGGTAAGAGACATCATCTTCTTTTTCCTTCTCAGCAAAGTTAAAAGCTATTGTCAGTTGTTTTAATTGTTCTTCTCTCTAATGTTTCTGTAGGACATATGCGTGGCAAGGAGGTATTGGTTTCAATTTCCTCCTTTGCTCTCAAGATCTATAACTCTAATGTTACTGCAGTGATTTTAGTTCAGATGCAGATGATTTTACTTCTTTTCCTAATCGATTTGTGGTGATCTAAGTTATATAACCTTTGGCTCCTAACTTGGAAACAGGTCATACCTGCAGAGGAGCACGCTGCTAAAATAGCATCAGCACGAGACGCTATTGGAGATTCTGACTTTTTCCTCATTGCAAGGACTGATGCGCGTGCCCTTTCCGCTAAAACCGGACTTTCAGATGCCATTGACCGTGCTAATCTCTACATGGAGGTTACTACTAAACCATATTGTGTTAACAATACTAAAATCTAATCCACATATTTTAAGAAGGCAGAATAGTGGATAATAATGGAAGAAATGTGTAGGCTGGAGCTGATGCTTCCTTTGTTGAGGCACCAAGGGATGATGATGAGCTTAAGGAAATTGGACAGCGCACAAAAGGGTACAGAGTGTGTAACATGCTTGAAGGTGGGCGCACGCCATTGCATACGCCTGACGAGCTCAAAGAAATGGGCTTTCATTTGATAGCTCACCCACTTACCTCGCTCTATGCATCAACTCGAGCTCTTGTCGATGTTCTCAAGATTCTTAAGGAAAAGGGAACCACCAAAGATCACTTAGAAAAGATGATTACTTTCGAGGAGTTTAACAGTTTGGTGAACTTGGAATCATGGTATGAGCTCGAAACCAAGTACTCAAACCTCAGGAACGCTCTTGGCGAAACAAAGCCATGAGATTCTGACAAACTCTGGCCACAACTGATCAGCAATGTGTCACAATAATGTTATCTTCTTTCTCACGTGCTATGAAGCTGTTTGTATCATATTCAATAATTGTGATTTTGACATGTAAAAACCTCAAAATTTTCTAATTTATTAGGAGAACTTGTTCTTGTTTCTCCGACAAACCAGAGAAGCAATGTCTCTAGCAATGTTCTGAGCATCTCTTGAAATACCAGCCAAGCCTTGTCTCCCAAACCCAACACTGTACAGCCCGTTCTTCCCCTTCCAGTGACCCGGGAACTCGCGTCTCGGCATCCCATTCTCGTTGAACAAATCTCCATCATCAACCTGTGTCACATCAGAGCCATTAAAACAAGAACAGAGTTTTTATCTTCTCTGTTTCTGTGTCTGAAGTTGCAAAAATATACCTGAAGCCACTTTGAAACGCTGCTTTTGTAACCAGTTGCGAAGACAATAGAGTCTATGTGCTTGGTCTTTCCATCTACAAACTCCACTCTCTTCCCTTCTATACGCTTAATAGACGGCACAACTTGAACCTTGCCGGACTTAACCTCTCCTACGCAGCCGACGTCGATGGTAGGTGACCGACCGGTGACAAGCTTGTTCATAAACGGGCCGTTATTGGGTCTCACAAGCCCATATCTCGAAGTATTCCCAAACCTCAGCTCCGCTAGTAAGAGACACAAACGGTCAACTAATTTTACCGGGAAAAACCTGAGCAACGACATTCCTATCCGTACGATACATCTCGTCAACACGTGCACCTATACACATCAATTACAAAATTAAAGTTATTGTAAAGTTTTACTAATATAATGAAATATTTATTTTAATTTTCAGGTATGATTCATATATATAGTTACTTACGGGGCTACGAACAACGATGGAGACCTTAGCACTGCGCTTAGACAGTTCATAAGCAATCTCCATACCTGAATTCCCACATCCAACGACCAAAACATCTTTTCCGGCGAACTTATCACCGTTCTTGTATTCACTTGAGTGCAAATACTCTCCTTCAAAGCTCTCTACAAGCCCGGGAATCTCCGGGATCACACCTTCGCCGTTCTCTCCCGTCGCAGCAACCACATACTTCGCCGAGTAAAATTCTCTCGACATCTCTGCTTCGTTATCCACCTCAACGATCCATCGACCATCTTTGAAGTATGCGGACTTGACGTTCCGGTGGTACCTAGGGTTTACGTTGAAACGTGTAGCGTATTCGTCAAGGTAAGTGATGAAACCTAGCTTGGAGACGAATGTAGGAGTGTTAGAGGGGAATGGCATGTGAGGGAGTTGACAGAATTGCTTTGCGAGGTGGAGCTTGAGACGATCGTAAGACCTTGTTTTCCAGAGAGAGGCACTGCAATCTTCTCTTTCGACCACTATGTTCGGTATGTTCAAACGGTTAAGACAAGCTGATGTGGCTAAACCGGCTGGTCCTGCACCGATTATGAGAACCAGAATCTTGATTTCTTGTTTCTCCATTGTTTTTGTTGTTGTCAGTGTTGTAGTGTGATTATTAAAACGCAATGACAAAGCTGTACTTACGCTGTCAAAACTGAACAGCAATGTGTATCTATTTATATGCATGACTGAAATTTTTAACATAAATAAATAAGTTGATTGCTCCAAGTAGTGAATCATAGGATATGTTGGAAGAATCATAAATTTTCTGCTGTTTTGGCAAGTGCTTTGCTCTGTGGAAGTGGTCTTAATTAAGATCGAGTCAACACACGGTTATCAATTTAATAATTTTCCTTAATTACTCTATTAAAAAAACTTGTTAATTGCATTTAGCTTTGCCTATATATTTATTAATCGGATTCACATTCACTAAAAGTAGAGAATTAGTAATAAGTGTTGTACTTACTTACGACGACACGAGTACGGAGAAAAGTGAAGCACGGTACCTGATACTAGGGTAGGATATGATCATTACAAAGGCATAGTATTACTTAGTGCTTTACTGTCGTAATTTGTTTGTGTCTGAAATTAGAATTCTGAAATTGACAAAGGAAGCTGTTTAGTGTTAAGCACCTATGCGAAAAGAGAAAACTATACGTATTAGGTGAATCATATATTCATATTGAACAAATTAGTCGTTCACTTTGACCTAAACATTAAACATACTGTAGTTAAGAATTTAAACTCAAATGGGGAGCCGCGTAAACACCTTTTATGATACTTGACACGGTCACACCTCAGGAGTAAGCATACGATTATTGCCTTGTGGGTGAAAAGTGAAAACCATGTTATTTATTAATCTCAATTACGGGAAATATGATTTGATCAGCAATGTTATTATACAAATCAGAGGGTTATACAGTTTCTATATATACTTTTCATTTAAAATATTAACAAAATGGTTCTATGGTGTAGTGGTTAGCACTCTGGACTTTGAATCCAGCGACCTGGGTTCGACTCCCGGTAGGACCTTTATTTTTTTATTATACAAACACCCTTAAAATGAGCTCTAATTTTACTAGGTAGTAGTAACAAAGAGGTCTTAGATAGGAGTTATGAACATAGCGCCAAAAGATATTGATAGATTATGAAAGAACAACAACTCAACGGCTTCTAAGGCTTCACATACACTGATGCACACCTTAGAAAGTTACTTCGTTTATACTACTAATCACATCAACATGATGCTTCTATATACAACATATCCTATTCCTCTGTTTTAGTGAGCCGGATGAGGTACAGCGTTGTGTCCGCGATGAGCCTGAAGGATACAAGCACAGTGCACAGATGTTAAGCTCAGACAACCGCTCATCACAAGCGAATGCCTTCCTGAACATGTGTGAAGAGCAGGGAAGGTGTCGCAAACTGCTTGAACCGCTGAAGGTGTAAGGGCTGTGCATTGGCTAATATTGAGACTTCTAAGCCCTTCTTCATCGTATTTCCCTTTCTTAACTGATTTCCATGAACCCGGTTTGTTCTTTACCCCGCTTTGAGCTAGTGAGTACATCGCCCTGTCTGTTATGTTTCTGCAGTAGTATAACCCCAGTGAACACAAGTGGACACACCAGTCTGCTAGAGCTACCACACTCTCATCTGCAAAATATTACATGACAAAACTGAATTGGATTACACACTTTTAAGGATCTCAAGGTCAAGGTTTTTCTGAGTCCATCTACAACAACCTAGTTTCTAGTTTGCTAAGTTCAATGCAAATATCGAATCAAAGTGCGATACAGAGAAAAACCAACAATATTAGCTTTAGCTTCAAAGTAAAGCTTAAATATGTGAATTACCTGTAATTAGAACACAGCCACAGAGGTCAAGCGTCCTGAGATCTGGGCAGCCATAAGCTAAACTCATTACCCCTTCATCACTGATATTCTCACACCATCCCAAATTTAGTGACTGCATCTGATTGCAGTTATTCCCAATAGCCTGCACACATCAAGATGAAGAAGGTCTTCAATTCTACCACTCCTATGACCAATGAAGCAAAACCAGATTGAGAGAAAACATTAAGAGACAAAGATTAACCTCTAAGGCATTGTCAGATACAGCATTGACACATCCGCAGAGATTCAAAACTCTAAGCTTTCTGCAGAACCTGGTCAAATACGCAATAGCAGTGTCGCTGAATGAAGTGCATCCGCTAAGGTTGAGTTTTGTGAGGTCGGGGCAACCATGAGCAAGTGCATAGAGGGAACGATCAGTTAGTTTCAAACTTTTGCTGAGATCAAGCTCTTGTAGCTCACGGCAGTGATTTGCTATGGCCTCCACTGCATTGTCCTCTAGCTGTGGTTTGTCCTGCCGCAGTATTAAAGTCTGCAGCTTGGTAAACTTGGGAGCAAGAGAAAGAACCAAGCTGTTCATGTTGTTATTGCACCTAGGTAAAAAAAAAGAAAAAACATCAGAAAGTGTAACAAGATATTTAATCTGAATACACTGAAAATGACAAGAACAAGCTCCAAGTGTTTCAAACATTCAAGAGTGGTCATCTCAAACTATTCCTCTGGTTTTACCTCCTTATGCAAAGTGATCTACCATATTAAAGGGTCTCATCGAAATGTTAAGGAGCTTTCTCACTTTTTTCCATATATCTATCCTAATTACCATCAACAAATGAATGAAACGTTCCTCAAAAAAAAAAAAAAAGATTTTTACACAAAAACCAGACAATAAACCAACATAACCCTAAACCACAAGATGAAATCAAGACTCTGGAAACTCAGCTCCCACTTCAAATTCAAACACCAACACAGAGCAAAGGGTTTATTAAAGGTGAGAGAGAGAGAGAGATGTTGTTACCAAGAGAGACGGAGACGAGTGAGGCCAAGAGAGATAGCATCTCTCCAGCCACAACAAACACCAGAAGCAACAATGACATTACGGTCATCAACAAGGGAAAGGATCCTCATCAGAAGCTCCACAGGGATGTCTTTCCACTCTTTGATGGAGATTCCTTCCATCTTCATCTTAAGAAAACACTGGTCCAGTTCCATGGATGATGCTTCTTCTCCTACCATCACCATCTTTATCTTTTATAACGAAGCGGTGTCTTGATCCTATCACACCACAGAGATTATGATGAGAGAGACAGAGATAGGCAAGAGAGAGTGTAAAAATAATATCTGCCATTTACCGATTTTACAAACCTCGAAAGACGATATAAGATTTTTTAAAACCCCAAAAAAAAAGGAATTTTGAAAGTAAAGAGTACTGTGTATGAGTAAAGTTAAAAATGCAAGAAAAATACAAGCTTTCAATTTCAGAGAAACAGAACAAATACAAACTTTCAATCTCAGTGTTTGCTTTTTTTGTGGAGAACTAATAAGTATCCTCCAAATTTGTTTTTTTTTTCTAAAGTATATGAAACATAAAACTTTTCAGAAAAGAAAAAAAGATCAGAGCTTTGGACTTTAGATCATACCTTTGAATTAGTTTCTTCGTCTCTCTTTTCTCTTATGGGTTTTGTTCAGTTGTTTTTTCCTTGGAAAATATATAAATATTTATTTTCTTTGATATATTTGGTCTTTTAAACCAGAAGATAAACAAATAAAGGAAACAAATAAAGGAAAAAGAAAAGTTCCTATAAAATAAAGATAGAGGGGAAAGGCAAGGAGAAACGTGTGGGAAATAGCTTTGTGACGCGTATGCTGACACTTGTATTATAGTGACTGGCAGATAAGTTCAAAGGCTGTATTGTTTTCATTGTTTGCTTTTGAATGGATTCCAAGCAAATTACTCCCATATTTAGATTAAAACTTTTTTTTTTTTTGTCATCTATTTAAATTAAAACTTTTAACTTTAGAATTAACATAAGAAATGGTTACCTATAGTAAACAAGCGAATATTAACATAAGAAAAAGATTAAAACAAATGGTTAACTCAATTCAATTGGTAATGGTGTTATGAAGAATCCATTCTTTGAGTAATACAATTGGAGCAGGGGATGCGTGAATCAGTGAATGTGTGTGTCCAAATAGTAAAGTGGACAACTGTTTGTGTAGTCCTCTTTTGATAAAAATCGAAACCGCAACTAATGAGGTCCACTCATTCTTATATGCAATGTACAATGTTTTGGGACACCTTCCAAAGACTCTCAATTTCACAATTGGCAGGTTTTTATAAGCATATATCATATGGATTATCCGATGTATTTTATTTTGTATATATAAAACCTTTTTCTGGCAACTATATATAGAAACGCAGCTCATTTTCTTGTTATTTGTTTTTTTCTTTCTCAATCACTTTTTTTTTTAGTCATAGAAAATAGTTCACCATCCTTCAAATTATCTTATCATATTTGTTTAAATTACTCGATTATCATCTAATCATAATTTTTTCCTAAAACTTTTTTAATAAATGAAACTATAATTGGTAAGATAGACGCATATAATAATCTATAACTAACCTATGTCACATTCCAATGAACTATAAAATCTGTGGCAACATCTACTAAAATTTACAATGCACTAAAATAAATTTCTACTTATACAAATACAGTATTTCCCCCGGAAAAGAAATTACAATTTTGTTTCATTTAAATAAGTTGGTAAATTTTATATAAATACCATGCATGAGTTGGTGTGTCTTTTTTTTTTTTTGTGTGCACCGAGTCCGAGTTGGTGTGTGTGTATATATCACAATAAACAATGAAATATGTGTACGTAAAGATTATCATTTGACTCATTGTTTGATCATATTACGAACATGTCATTTGGATAGGTAGGCACGTTTTTTATAAAATGACTGACGAAGCTTGCATAAATTAGTTTTCACAGATCGTCTAGATTCAGACATGAAAACCAGGTGGATATTCTTGAGGTTGTTTCTCTACTAATTCCTTTAAACCAAGTTCTTGCTCTTCAAGATTCTTCGGTTTAACATCATATACATCGTTAAACAGCTCTGTCAATGGTTGTTTCTCCCACTTCTCCGCAGCTTGAATCGCTTGCAGAAGCTACAAACACACAATTAACAGGCTTAACTAACATAATAACTTCTACCTTAGCGTATAAAAACTTAGCGGTTTGTTTTCGGAATCTTTACCTGTTTTCTTGCGTTTGATCTTAGTTTCGATTCATCTTCCTCACTCCACCATCCGTTATCCTCAACCCATTTCCTGAATCTATTCACAGGGTTTCTCGACATTTTCCAGTACTGTATTTCATCGGCCGCTCTGTACTTAGTTGAATCATCTGATGTAGAATGATGTCCTACTCTATATGTCATCGCCTACAACAACAAAAATAATCCCAACAAAGTCTTATTACACCAAAAGTCAAAAGTTGAAAACTTTGGAGACAAAACTCTATATATGGTTTTGTCATTACCTCGATGAGAACAGGTCTCTGTTCTGTTACAGCCATTTCTCGCGCTGAGCGTACCGCACTATAAACCGCGAGTGCATCGTTACCATCAACACGGATGCTTCGTATTCCGTAAGCTTGACCTTTCACAACAATCCCATCACCTGTTACCAAACCACATTAGCTCATATATTTTTAAAACAGAGGAAGTTATATGGTGAAAATAACAAAAACAGAGGAAAAAGTGAGTTTTCATACTTCGAAACTGTTCTGAGATATGAGTACTGATAGCCCAACCGTTGTTCCGACAGATAAACACAACCGGAGCTTCCATTACGGCCGCAAAATTCAATCCGGCATGGAAATCTCCCTGAAAACCAGACCCCAAAACTATATAAGTTTCAGTTCTTGAAATGTATTTAATCCATATGAAAGATGAGAATTAAAGACTTTTCCCATCAACCTCGCTTGTTCCACCATCACCGATGAATGTAACTGCACAAGCGTTCTTCTTCTCCATTTTCAAAGAATAACCAACTCCAGCAGCTTGAGGAAGTTGCGTGCTGAAGAATCAAGATTACAAAACAGAACTCAGCAAAAAACTCTATAAAAGAGCAGAACAATGAAATGATTGATTTTTTTTTTTTCAGAGATTCGTACGCAATTGGAGAGGAGATAGTGAAGTAGTTGAGACGATTAGAGCCGTAATGAATCGGCATTTGTCTGCCTTTGCCGTAATCAGCTTTGTTCCCAAAACACTGATTTGCAAACTCCTCTAATGTAAAGCCACGCCATAGAAGCACTCCAGGCTCTCGGTACTGTACCATAATAAAAGAAATAATGAACAAACCGAACCAAGCGTGACTAATAAGAGTGTAAAACACTAAACAACGGCTTTACCTGAGGTAACACGATGTCGTCAGGACTAAGAGCAGCTGCAGAAGCGATGTTAATGGCTTCTTCTCCGACAGAAGTAAGATAAAACGAGATTCTTCCTTGACGTTGAGCTTCGTAGAAGATGTGATCCATCACTTGAAGCGTCGCCATTTGTTCATACATTCTTACCGCCAGTTTCTCCTTCACCTGTTTTTTATTTTATTTTTTTGGTTTCTGTCGGTTAGTACCAAACCAAACTCATACCAATTCTAACTTTCTTGAAAATTTTTGTACCGGAACAAAATCGTTATCGGGGATGATTCGTCCGTCTTCGTCTAGAACTCTGTAACAAGGAACCCTCCGAGAAGATGATTCCGGTATGAATTTCATCTCGGAAGTGTAACCGACTTTGCCTCCCGGAAAATCCAATTCCTGGAAAAACAATTACACGGTTTAATCAATGCGTAAATGAATGATACAGAACTATTGGGGTGTATTTAAGAATGTTCGATAAAAACAGGGGTCATAATGAAAATTATTTTTTCCAACATGGCTGCTGTGATATTAACGAAATGAGAGGAGACGTACACGTGTACTACTCAAATCAAACCAACACAAAGCCACTTGTCACTTGACATGACTTGTTCGTGCGGATGTGAACTGTTGTTGACCAGTAGTAGTACTATGGTTGGTAAAGGGGTAACTATATATGCGAGATCGCATTAAGTTCTAGAGCTTTTCTAAGATTTTTTTCCTGAACGTTCAAATCTTTGAGATTCATCTTTCGTTCATAACAAGAATACTCACCTAACTCTGCTGTTAGTTTCAGGAAAGATCTATATAACAACAAGGGAAGTCTGCGTCACCAAGAACTAATTATTTCTATGTATTTTTATATACAATTGAAATAAGTTCGTCATGACAGCTAGTCTTTATGAAAACTCCAATCACCTAATTTTTTAAAATATTCACACCTCTAAACCACGTGAAAGAAGTGTATATGATTATTAAAAAGATAAAAAAAAATAAAAAAAAAATACCTGCAGAGCTTCTTCTTGATCATCACTATGTAGAACCAACTCATCAGGCTGTTTCTCCACGGCAGTAGACTCGTGACGGAGGAGGCTAGCAACGAAGGGACTCGAAAACACCGTCGAAGGTAACTGATGAGAAGTTGTTAAAACTGGACGATGAGAGTAATCACGTTTGATGAGAATCGTCGACGTACACAGGTTATGTCTCAAGCTAGAAACAAGGTTTCTTGATCTAGCAAACCAGATCGCCATGTCTTTTTAGAAATAAAGGACAAAAGAAGAAAATGGAGAAGAGTAAAGAGTACAACAAGAAGAAGACTGAAGAAGAAGAAGAGAAACTATGTTTTTAACGATGTTATGGGCAACGGATTAGAAGGACGACATGTGCATATATTTCCTTGTCGGACTTGACATGTCATCCGTATCCATCTCTAATCTTTTTTTTTTTAATTATGTATATTATATATATATATATATATATATTTTTTAATCTTCCTCACTTATTGGGATTTTAGGTTTTTACACTAATTATAGTGGAGAAATACTATTCAAATCAAATTAAATTAAAGTGAAATATCGAGAGAAGAATTTGCAATACCTTACATAACATTACAAATCATTTAAAGATTTTTCAACAACCAAACCAAACTGTACTGTGTTTTTCTTAATGATTTTTTTGTATCTTTTTTCAAAGATAGCAAAATTGTAAAGTCATCTACTTGCGTGTCTTTCATATCTTTCTTTGAATTTTCCATGACGTCCGTGAAATAAGTAGTTTCACAAAAGATCAAGAAAAAAAAGATTTCTTATGCTATAACACGTGAAAACATTTTTCCATTTTTAAATAAGTTGAAGGTTACACCAACAATCACCAAGAAATTTATAACGATTTTATATATGTATTGTTAGATGGTGAAAGAATTGTAAGTTTCTCAAATTATGATTCATTGATTAGGTAACATCTAACCTAACCAATAATGCTTTCCTGGACCTTAACTTGCATCTACTTCCGATGAACTTGCTAGAATCTATGAAATTGTTGTTCATTAATCATAGTTTTATGTGTGTTAAACTGTTAATTATTTCCTTGTATGTATTAAGAAGGTGAAAATTGTATCATTATTGTTTGGCGATTAGAAAACCCCATGCAAATTGAATATTTCGAATAAAATGTCTTCTTCTTTATATGTGTATATTTTAAATAAAAATAAAATGTCTTCTTCTTTGTCAACTTTTTAAAAATGAAATATTAATTACAAAATGATTCTTCATCTTATGTTTTTAATCTGAACTCTAAAACAAAACCACATCTTTTTGCTAAATTATTTTCTCAAATTGAACAACATACAGTAGAACGAAACCCCATAACTCCATAAGTTCAGATCTACACGCACCCTAAAAATCAAAGTCATCAAGGCTTATCCACAGCTCATATATTACCTATCAAGCCAACTTGAATTGCCTTTTTTTTTTTGCCACCATTTTAATTTAAAGTACACGACTCGTGTAGCACGAGGGTATTTGAAATTTTTAAGCTTCGAACGATCTTATTGAAATGGTTACATGTGGGCTATTCATTGGATATAAGAAAGTATCTACGAACTTCTAGGCCATACAAATACATTACCAGAAAATGTCATATTTGATTTTTGACTGTTATATGTGCTCTGGCTCCGACTAAAACCGAGGGTCCAAGTGCAACCGGTGGAGTCCTCCCACAAATTCCAAGACATTTGAGACACTCTGCAACAAAGGAAGTGGCTAGACAGTGCTTATGACACTCCAAATGGCACCTCTTGTCCGACTTTGCATTGCCTCCCATTGTTATTAACGCCGTTAGCAGCATCGCGATCCACACCACACTCATAATATTCATCCTCATTTTCTTTTCTCTTCTTATTTTGCTTTCTTTACTATAGATTTATTATATTTATGATTGATTAAAATGTATCTATGTGTATTTATACTTCTTTCATTTAAAAGCATACTATATATAAAAAGGAAATAAATCGAACACTTGACACATATAGTACGTCTCATTTGCTAGGCTTTGATATGTTACCACATATATTTATACCTTTAGTCAAAGTTTCCTACTTTTATACTTTTATATTTACAATAATCAAAGGATTGAATATTTAGACAAAAAAAAAAGAAGAAGAATATTTAGACATACAGTACATGAAAAGATCATAAAAAATGGCTTTCATATGTAAAATGCAACTCTCTCTAAACTCCAGTGTTCTAAAAATCGGCCACGGCGGCCGCTTAGTCGCCGAAGAGACGTTTTATGGACATGGTCCGCCGCGATTTTGGTGTAGTCGGTAAAGAAAATCGGTCAAAACAGAAAACTATTTAAATTTTCATCTTTTTGTTACAAATTCAGAGATAAATGGTAGATTAGTGTTATTTGGTTAAATTACATGAAAAAATGATGGAAAGTGTGAAAGAAATAGCAAAGAAACTGAGTTAAAAAAACACAGACGACCAGCGGCTATTAGGGTTTCGATGAAGAAGATGATTTGAAGATAAAATTACGATTTTGCCCTTTTTATTTTAATGGCCAAAAAAAAAAAAATTGAATGCTTTGGGTGTCGAACCTAAGAATGCATAGTTTTATCAAGACAAAGGTACCACTAGACTATTGTAACATATAGTTATTGTACTAATATAAGTATTATATAACCTCTATATTAAGAAAACCATAAAATGTTATTAACGCCTAGTCGTCGACTAATCTCCGTCTAGACCGTGTAGTTGCTAGGCGCTACTTCACCGCCCAACGGGCGCCTAGCGCTTTTTATAACATTGCTAAACTCCATAGGAAAGAAACTCAATAAATCTCTCGGGGTTAATTAGCAAAATTTCAGTTCATTGCAAGTATCATGATCTACAAGAACTGTACTCACTAGCTCAAAACATTTCCTCAATGTATCCCAAAAACACTGGATACATCTTCTTCTTTTTACTTAGACTAGACGCCACTAACTCAAAATCAGACTATACAATAGAAATATATATAGTCCCACATCGGAGCTTTGGCTTTTTAAGCTGATGTATAAATAACACTAAAAAGTCAACAAGTTGTTGTGTTCGTAGAAAGGAGAGATGGTTGGCATCTCCTCTGACAGAGACGGGATTTGGACCTTCGGGTTCTTTTGAACACATCCGGTTAAGGCTCTCCACTTTCGTGGTGGATCTAACCCAATTTTTTTTGGGGCTTTTTTGTAAGTCTTTCTAGTTATTTTTTATTGGGCCTCTCTCTCTCTACTAAACTTCATTCTAATTACTACTAATACAAAATCCAGAGTTATGATTAGGAACAACATCTTCAAATGTAGACACAACATCTCAAAGTCAATAATACTCTGTGTTTTTTTATTATACTAAAAAAAAAAAATCAAGAGACGTAGAAACTATATACACAGGCGTAAACGAGAAGCACGTTGAAGGAGATTGGTAAATAGAAGATTCCCCTAGAAATAAGCAAAGAAGTGAATAATAAAGTAATGAAACACGCATCTTATATTGTCTTCTAGTACTACTAAACACGCTTAATTATATAAATATCGATTATCCTACTTTTCACAAAACATGAAAAGACTCAAAAATATAAAAGCCAACGCTCCTAAAAAGACAGAACCATGGTCCATATATCTCACCAAGTTGTTAAAAACTCTTTTATTGTATATTGTCAACCAATCTTAACTACTGTATAATCGTGAAACAAAAACATTAATACTAGTCTTAAGTGGTGAGCATGCACGAACATGAATTAAATTAAGATTGACGAGAGTACTAATTAAATGGCCCTTAAAAATCAATGATAACAATTATTACTAAAGAAAAAATTAGATGATTTTTATGTGGCAAAAAACAAAAAAAGAGGAAGACTTATTGGGCAAAGGATGATCTTATAGATTCTAGAAGCACTTGACTTTATAACAAAGTGTAAACAATATAATCCGTAAACACTTGCTCAAATCCGCTACGATCAGCCAAAAAAATATCATATATTACAAAACTCCCCGTATTGACAGCAACTATAACAACAACACACATCCTCATCACATACTATTAAATAGGGGACTATTATAACCACTCTGAGAACAACGTGACGTTCAAACTTAAACCCCCCAATATCTTTTCGAGATATTTACTATAAGTATATGCTACAGAACAGGTCATATCAAGATATCCTTTTTTTCTTCTGTTTTGTTATAAAACTATTGCTTTTGTTTCTGAGTTTTTTAAAAATAAAAATCGAATCACGATGTTAGATCCTTCTTCAGCTAAATCCTGCAATACTAGTAGCCATTTGTGTTTTCCAAGTATTCCTAATGACGACCACTCAGATTCCGGCGTCTGTTCGCCTACTCTGTGGAGAAACAGTCCTCCGAGGAGTCCTTTTCACCGGCCGGAAGATTACTGGAGCCTTTCTCCTGATTCCAAAGCACAGGCTATTGCTCGTGGTCAAAGGGAGCTTATGGATATCGTTAGTAAGATGCCCGAGTCGTGTTACGAGCTTTCGCTGAAGGATCTTGTTGAAGTGAAGGTGAGCCAAGAGAATGAACGGAAAGTGTTCGATGAATTGCCTAAGAGAATAGATAAGCCGAGTAAAGTTGTGAAGAAGATGAAGAGTGATAAACGGATTGATCCGAATCGGTCTGGAGGAGGAGATAATGGTGGGTTTCTTCTCAAAATGATGTTTCCGGTTAGCTTAGGATCTAATACGACAAATACGAAGAAGAAGAAGAAGACGAAGAAGAAGAAGGGGCAGGATACGATTAAGGATTCTCAGGTTTCACCGAGACCTTCTATCTCTGATGAGCCTGTGAGAGCAGAGGATAAAGAGTGGTGGAATAAAATGTCTGAAGCGAGCACTAAGAGGAGCGGTAGTAGCAGTAGCAACAGCAGTATTAGGAGCCGAAGCAGCCTAAGGTATGTCTTTTCAAACTCAGAAATGAAATAGTTTTCATCTTTCATACTTCTTGGTTTTGCTTTGCTAATCAGATAATTTGATGAAAATTTCCTAGTTGTTCAAGTCTTTATACATCGGTTCATTGTGTTTGCTCTATGTGAAATTTAGATCATTTTAAATCTTGATTACTATCCTCCTCGAGAGTTACTCTCGTGTAAAAGAAAATTTCTGTTTGCTGATAAAAGAAAAATCGACTTTTAATTGCTGTCATTGTGGTTAAGCGAACTGTTTTTGTTTTGTGATGCTTTTTTTTGTTTGTCTCTTCATCACGTGAAAGTTTTAACGATCATGTTGGTTGTATGAAAATGTTGTTGTCAAGTGGAAGACCTCTTGACAAAGATTGTAAATGCTGATGGAAAGCTCATTATCTTTCATGTTACTCATGAATCTCTGCTGATTATAGTATAATTCTACTATAGTTGAGAATTGAGATGCATGACTATTTGTCTGAATGATACTTAGTCACATTGAAACTTTTGGTGTTTTTTTTTGATGTGAAAGTGTTTTGATGCAGGGATAAAAAACGTAGCTGCTTGCCTTTTCTCTGGAAGATACATTCAAGAGACTGAGACAAAGCTTCTTTGGCTTAAGAACCAGAGCTAGATTACACAACACTCGAGTTTGTGTTTGCAGTCTATAAAATCTTGGGAGGGAATGGTTTAGAGAACGAACAGGACACGAAGATTATCACTTTCCTGATAATTTATTCCTATTTTATTTTTTTGCTTCTGTAAGCCTATGCATCGAAGTTTTAGTAATGTAAATAGAGATTAATGTGCACTGATTAGTCTTCAACTCTGTGATTTTGAATTCGAATGTATAGTGTATAGCTTTTGTGTTTAGGATCTACTTGATTCTTTTTACCTTTACTTATCAAAAAGCCTAGTAAAGCTACATACAATAATCTTTGCCTTAAAAGCAGCGTCACTTGTTTATTTTGGTTTCAAAGAGAAAAAGCTGATGTGAACTAATTGGTACCAAGAATGGTCCCATTGTGGACTTGTGAGTCGGAAGAATATTTGTTTTGGAGTTTGCTGTTCTGTCCAAACGCGCGTCTTGGCAAACGCGTTTTATAGCGTTTCGGGATTGTAAGAAAAGTCAACAATGAAATCAATTTGGGTTTTGATACTTATGAAATTTCTTGGTATATAGTTTCTATTCGCTAATGATCATTACTTAGGACCTAAAACTTTATTATATAATAATGAAAAGAATAATTAAGACTCTCTTTATTTTATTTCATCGTCACCGACTGTTAGTTTAGCATATAGTAAGACAAAAGCCAAAACACAAAAGACTTTATTGCATCTGGCAAAAATAATAGAAGATCAAAGAGAAGTCGAAGTTGATTTATGGACGGCTAAGGCTGATGATGACCTGACATAAAACTCCGATCGTGTTCGAATACAAGTTTTGATTTTTCAGAGAACCCTTATAACTGTATCGTCTTCTCGATCTTGATACGCACAAATCTTCACTCGGCTTATCATCTGTTCTCAAGTTTAGAGTCTATAGACAGGTTAAAAAGTCTTTGCTTTTGTTTTGGTTCAATTATGATTTCTGTTATGTTGTGTTCTCTTCTTTCTTGTTCTTCAATTGCATACACATTATGTGTTTTATTCTTGTCGATATTTTGATTCATACTTCGTAATTGACTAATTGTTGTGTCCGTTTGTATCCAGGTTACTGGATTTGGTAATTTGCTAGCTTAATCTGACATGTCATGTGTATCTTGAGATTGAATTATCTTCTTTTATGGGTTTGTTTTATAATTGAATGCTTCTGTGTTCGTGATCTGGTCTAATTACAAGCTGGTTTGTGAATTGTGATAGCCAATTGTTTTGTTTTCAGAGTGTGATCCCAGTTTTTCAGATTAAGTGTTTGATCATTTTTTGCTTGTTCTATCTGTCATTAAGAGGTTATGTAAGTGTGTTTCGACCTGTGTTTATACTTGTAGGAAACTTGGAACTTTTAGGATTTGATTGAAAAGCGATCTTTCAATGGCGAATAACGCGGCTGCTTGTGCTGAGAGGGCTACAAATGATATGCTGATTGGTCCTGATTGGGCTATCAACATTGAACTCTGTGACATTATCAACATGGAACCTAGGTAAAGTTCTTCAGCACCGTTTTTGAATTACTGATATCTGATTGAGTCTAGGCTAGGATGCTTAAAGTATCGACCTTGTTTTGTTTTTGTAGTCAAGCAAAGGAAGCAGTGAAGGTGCTTAAGAAACGATTAGGAAGTAAAAATTCTAAAGTGCAGATTCTTGCCCTTTATGTGAGTTATTTTTTTAACTCATTGTTGGATACAATGCTTTGTTTTGGTTTTGTTTATCGTACTGAACTTCTCATTCGTGAATGCTCGGGGATTGGCTCAGGCTTTGGAAACTCTGAGTAAGAATTGTGGCGAGAGTGTGTACCAGCTCATTGTTGACCGTGATATTTTGCCTGATATGGTCAAAATAGTCAAGAAAAAGGTTTTCTACTTACCATCTCTCATCTGTTTGTTATATATCAATTCTATTATCGAATCTGCTTAACCTGGAAATTTATCAACTAACTTATGCAGCCGGACCTGTCTGTGAGGGAAAAGATACTAAGCTTATTAGATACATGGCAAGAGGCTTTTGGTGGAAGCGGCGGAAGATTCCCTCAGTATTACAATGCTTATAATGAACTCAGGGTATGACACTTGAGCCTTTATGTATATATTAATACTATAAATCAAATTTTTGATAATCGTTTTGTCTTTTGAACACTTTAGTCTGCTGGAATTGAATTCCCACCTCGAACCGAGAGCAGTGTACCGTTTTTTACTCCACCTCAGACTCAGCCAATTATTGCTCAGGCCGCTGCATCAGATGAAGACGCTGCTATTCAAGCCTCTTTACAAAGTGATGATGCTTCTGCACTCAGGTACGCTCTTTTTGTTGAATATCCTGTTTGACGTTCTCATTCCATCATATCATTTTTTTGTGTGCTAAACTTGTCTTTAAACGAGTATTCCGTGTCTCAAACATGTTATAGACTTTAGTATCTTGACTTTTCAGCATGGAAGAGATTCAAAGCGCTCAGGGATCAGTTGATGTTTTGACAGACATGCTTGGGGCTCTTGATCCAAGTCATCCAGAGGTATAAAAATATTAGTATATTACATAATATAATTAAATGGCTCTGTTGTTTGATCTGATTTGTCACACTCACTGTTCTAAATGATGTGACAGGGTATAAACGAAGAACTTATAGTTGATTTGGTTGAGCAATGCCGTACTTATCAAAGACGTGTAATGACTCTGGTGAACACCACTTCGTAAGGATTTGTTTGTTTTCTCCTTCATCCTCTTGTTGTTTCTTCCATTTGATAGATTTTGTTAATGGTGAAAGAGACTCTTTTTTCCAGAGATGAGGCACTTATGTGTCAAGGATTGGCGCTGAACGACAATTTGCAGCGTGTTCTTCAGCACCATGATGATAAGGCAAAGGGAAACTCTGTTCCTGTAACAGCTCCCACTCCAATTCCGCTTGTTAGCATCAATCATGATGACGATGATGAGTCAGATGATGATTTCTCTCAGTTAGCTCATAGGTAATGCCCATTCCTTGCGCATTTTAGTTGAACCCCAATACTTGGATTGCTAAAATTCATTGCACTCATCTCTGCAGGTCGAAAAGAGAAAATGCACGAGGGACTGGACAAGGGAATTTCAACCCTATTCTTCCTCCCCCACCATCTTCTATGAGGCCAGTACACGTTAATTCTGGTGCTATGGACTTCCTCAGTGGTGATGTCTACAAACCTCAAGGAACCTCAGAGAGTGTAAAGCCTCCGAGTACTTCCCAATCATCGCACCTGGACTCTTCCGCTCCTGTTTTCGATGATCCAGTTCCCCAGAGAAAATCCCCTGAGCAAGCTATGTTCACCAAACCAGTTTATGACCAAACTGAGCAATTGCCTCCTGCTCCATGGGATACTCAGGAACCCAGGAAGTATCCACCGTCAATGTCTGCTAGAACCAATAAGAGGCAAGAAGAATACTTCCAGTCTACTGTTCCCCAACAGTCAAGCAGTGGCTCTGAATCTTCATACGATGATCTTGTGGGACAATCCCGGAATCTCTCTCTGAATCCAACAGCCTCTGCTGCTGCTGTTACACCACCAAAGAAAGATGATAAACCAGAGGATATCCTTTTCAAAGACCTGATTGAGTTTGCAAAAACCAGGACATCATCATCTTCTTCCTCCAAACCCAACAATCAGAACAACAAACCGTTTTGAGACAGAGTTTGCAGTTGTTGCTTTAGTACCAACTACTCTTTACTATTCTTTTTCTCTTCTTCATTTGTGTTTTGTGTTTTCCTTTGATTGAACATGGATGATAAATACCGTGTTTCTTTTTAATCAAATAAATAATAGTGCATATAGAGAGATCTGTTACTGGATAGAAATGTCAAAATTTTATTTAACGTAAATCACAATTGATACAAGTAAAATTCTCTGGTTCTGACAAGTGACAACACATGAAAGCAGAATTGTACAAAGATTCTGAGGCTTCTCTGTATAATCTAAATATTTATGGAAAGTAACAGAAACAAAACAAAAAAAAACTCCTACCAACAAGCTCTTTGACCAAGTATTAGTTCCTCGAAGCAAGTCTAGAAAAGTATAGAACTATAGATCTTACAAAGATCAATCCCATGGGAGAGAGCCAGGAAAAGGAGATGAACCGCAGTACTTGAACAATCCTGCGATTTCAGGGCAGCCACTAGGGTAAGGTATAGTCCTGTGGAAAGGGTCACGCTTCAGCTTCTTACGCCAAAGTGAACCAACACACCCGTATGGATCTTCTTGAAACTGAGATCTAACCATAGCTTCGCCTTTAAGAGCACCTTCCTTGGATGATAGAGAAGCCGGAGTTCCTAAGTAGAAGAATCTTGATTCCGGAAATCCCATTGCTGAACGATGCAAATGTGCAAATCTCTCCTCCTTAAAATCATAACTTACTACCTGATCCAAGCATGAAGGACACACTAATATCACAAGAATGAAAAAACTTTGGCTTACTTAAGAGCGAGAAATTGGGAAGCTAAAGGCTTTACTGTTATGTTATGTGGGTAAGACCCTGTGAGCTCTCTGAATCGACAAACACTAAAGAGAAGATTCTCAAAGCTGTCTCTGGCATGTTCTTCCGTCAATGCCCTCGACCTCACTTCATCCTTGCCTGTAACAATCAACCACATTTCACCATCAAGTTAAGAAAGTGCAGAAACTACCATAGCTGTTCAAACTAATGAGACTCACCAAACCATCCTTTAGATTCAGCGACAGCCCAATAACTCTGAGCTTCACTACGAGGTCCTGCATCTTTACGAGTCTCTCCTCCACTGAATAAAAGCAAAGAGTCATCATCTTTCCCTGCAGCTTCAACACCTTCTTGTATATGACTCAAGAACGTTGCAGCCTGACCAGGATTCTTCTGATAAGACTCCAAGAACCATGAATCCTCCTTATCAACTTTACCGCAATTACTACTGGTATAAACTGAATGTCCAGCCACCATCACAAGGTTCTTCAGATTAACAAATGGATAATCATCGCCATCCAAATCCTTCTTCTTATAATAATTAACCGTTGAACCAATATGTCTCTCGTAAACTGACGATACAAGTATCAGAACAGTGATCCCAAACGAGACGCAAACAATGAAAACGAGAACAGGATGCAGTTTGAACATGTGGTGAAGACGATTCCCGAGAGATTTGATCATTTTGGCAAACGAATTCTTAGGCTTTCTAGATTTTCTGATGGTTCCTGATTCTAAATCGAAATCACCACTACTTCTAGAGTACGCATGAAATGCCTTACTCGATCCAAAGGGATAACTTTTCATGATACGACCAAATCCAGAGCTCCACCCCAACAATGTGGCAGATTAAGCATACCCAGATCAGATTTTGCGAGACTTACTCGTGGGATCATCAAAAAGTATGTATCTCTTCAGCCGGAATATAACAAAAAGACTCAGACTTTGATCGAACCCAGATCGTTGACTAAATCTCGAAGACCATTAACGAAAAATTCGAGCAAACCCCAGGTGAAAATTTTCCAGAAATGAGACAGAGGAATCAACGGAAGAAAAAAATTAAAAAAAAAACTCACCGGATTTATAACAGATTCGCTTTCAAAATCCGTTGACCAAGAGTGTGCTCGACGGATTTGTTTGTCGAACACAAAGATCAAAGGTTTTTAAGAACCATTGACGACGATTTGGAACAGTAATAAGAAGCTTCGGAAAGATGTCTTTGTTTTCAACGTGAGCGAGGAGGAAGAGCATTGGGAGTTAGATCGTTGAGTATTGGATCCTGGACGTTTCTTTTTTTAAAAGCCCAGATCCACATCTTTGGTCCATGTTATTGAAGTAATAATACTTGGGTTTATTTTTCATCAATTTCCTTAATTACATTATAAAAATAAAAGAAAATTTGCGAATCAATAATTCAATATCATGCTTCATCACTTTTTTTTTTTGTCTTTCTGGTATGACATTCACATTACTTCACAAAAAACCTTAACAATATTAATTCGTACAAATCTCCATGTTGCAATATTAAACCCATCGTATACTAATTAACTTATCTCATGAATGACAGATATACATCATACACTCACAAAGGTCAATATGGCAATGTCATTACTTTGTTTTTTTTTTCTTCCTCAATACTAGAGATTCTTTTCATTGTCATATTTTTCTTGAGTTTTGTCAATTTCATTTATATATTAAATTTTGATTAAGATGCGTAAATATTGTAATACATGAAGAGCTTTCTGATGTGACATATTATCAATTTTTAGAGTGTTTCCATTCATTATAATTTAAGACCTTTTAAAACAATTTTTTTTATAAAATTACATTAATACGATTTAGTTATATAATTAAATTTAATTTTTAAAAAAATATAAACGTAAAACGGCACCAATATATGAGTTCTTATGAGGATATACTGATTAAATTACATCCATACATGATACATCTATTTTACAGGTATATTAATATCTAACATAAAAAAAGAAAAAAAAAAAAGAAACGAAAAAAAAGATGAATCATTTTAGTTCGGATGATTAAATAAATAAATCTTACAACAAGGATATATACATTATTTTTTTAAACTAAACTTATCATTTGAGTGAAAATCCATTAAATAATTGGATTCTTTTTCAACCCATCACCTACATCGATCTTAATCTGTTCAACCCGTATTGTTCCTGAAAGACAAAACGAAGCACCATGCAAGATAATCAATATATACGTAAAACCAAAAATTTAAGAACGTAAAAAATTACTCTGATCTGTGTTAATGGTAATTACCAGAACAAAGTAGATTTCTTTGAGAATAGGTGTCAGCAATGAGCTTAAAGTATCAATGTCTTCTCTGAAGGTATCATAGCTTTCGTCTCTTGCACCGATCGCTTCCATGAACGTCTTGTTGTCAGGTACCAGCTTCAAACACACCTTCATTATTACATATGTTATACATGCATATCAGTACATGTGTCATGTAGGTAGTATATATATATATATATGTCTCCAAAAAAACTTATTTTATAACATTATATCATAAAACATTGATGGGATATATATATCCATGGAAAACGATGTTAATTAGTAAGTATAATATAGCTAGAATTGATCATGGTGTATACTTTGAAAGCAGCAGACGCGATCCATCCATGATGCGGTTTTAAAGTCGTCATGTAGCATTCTTCGACAAGTTCTTCCATTCTCAATGACGTTTCTTTCGACAATAATCGTAGTAAACCCGAAGTAAAATCCATTGTCCTATATATATGATACAATATAGTAAGAAAGAGAGTCATACACTGACACAGTGATACGAAACAAAAAGAAGAGAGCACTTAATTGAGTAGTAATTAAAGAGTATATTAGTTAACTAATAAATTAGTATGGGTGTAAAAGTTGAATATTCAAATTTCTTTTTTTGACATCGAATAATCAAGAATTTAAACGCGTAACTGAAAAAAAAAAAAAAAAAAATCATGCATCTGTCGTTTCATATTTCATATTTGCTAAGGACAACATATATTAATACTTCTTTGTTTTTTTGTTCATCCTATATAAGTCACTACTAACTATAGTCAGTACGATTGCTAATAGAGATAATATGCATAAAGGACAAATTAATTATGAAAAGGACTACAATCCTCATGTGCATGCATATTTATTGTTAAAGAGTTATGCGAGAACTCTAGTTGATGGAATATTATTCGATGATTATTTAAGGTGAATATTGTTGAGAAATAAAAGAGTAAGGTGAATATACCTAGTGAGCCAAAAGATAGCTCTACTGCAACTAGCAACCATCTTGGAAGTTCCCTCTTCCTTTTCTTTCTTCAGAATCTCAACCAAGTTGGAATAAACACATGAATCTGTTTCACAAACTTTCTCTAATCTCTACACAACACTCAATTCAGAAAACGTAAAAACATATGAGTGAAAGATATAATTCAAGTACAAAAAAAAGGGAAGCATGGATAGCCATTTTATAGAAAGTTATTTTAAAATAGACTAAAGTTCTCATGAAAGCAACCAAATAAGGGATTACAAGGCTGAAATTGAAGTATTGAAGAGATCTTTTTACCCAAAACAAAAGCACTGAAAGATATCTATTGGGCGTTCTTATCAGCAAAAAAGTTTAACCGATTTAAATAGATAGATTGATTTATTAGTATTATGATAGACCCACCATACATATATATACACATGCATACGTCCACATGATGTTGATGAGTTTCAATCAATAAAGAGGACAAATGAAAATAAGATAAAGCGTCTTGAGTTGTCTTGAATATGCATGAAGTAACATTAATTATCTTTAGTTACCTGAATATTTTGATCAATGTCTTGTCTAAGAACAGCCATTGTCGGTCCTATCTTATCTGCAAAAACCAAATCACCAACAGCTCGGGACAATCATTATTGAAGAATTATATGCTTAATAATATGAGACAATTCAGATTCCTTAGGAAAATCAAATTATTAATAAGAAAATGAAGATATATACCAAGAACTTGGATGATTAAGTCGCAGAAGGAGAGAAGAGGCCTCAAGGGTATATGTGTAGCTAATTCAGTGTTATCTCCTGGTTTAGTTATGATGAAAAGAGAGAGCTCTTCAATGGCGGTTTGAATCTCTGTCTTCTTCTTCTTCTCCATCTCGTATCTCTTTCTCTTCATGATCTCTTCCCTCTCTCTCGCTTGTTCGTAATCTTTATGATCTTCTCCCACTTATATAACATGGCCATCTTTATATATTAGTGTGTGAAAACATCGATTTGACTTTAAAGCATCAAGTTGGTGTTCTCTTTTGTATAATAAAGAAAAAGCATTACATATAATATATATAATACTACAAAGGACATACAACTTTATAAATATGTTAAATTTGTTCCTAGTTAATAGCTTAATATATATGATTGAAAGTAATAATAATGATTTTGGGTTAGAAGCGGAGACAAGTAAACTTCAACAGCAAAGACGGTCCAATATATAATATATGTGTGGTTATGGCATGGAAATAGTAATCGACTAATCGCTTATTAGATTCCTTAGATTATATAATGATGGTGACCCACTTTTTGACCTCTATAGTTTTTGGTGTATATATGTATGGTTCTAATCGATCCGAATTGTTAAAATAAAATAGAATTATAGATGTTAACGATTAAATTAACCATTGAAATCACTAATATAGTTTTTGATTAGTGGGGCTTAGGGTTCCGTTTAGATGTGCTGGTTGGTCATAAGGCATGCAAGGATGAAATAAAAGGAATCTTCTCCCAATTCTTTTATTATTTGGGTTTTGTCAGCTCTCTTCGTTCATGAATTCAATCATTTGCACCACTAGCTATACATATACAGTATATGTATACCGTATATATGTAAGTAAAATATAGATAGCTTAATTACGTGAAGTTTAAATTGAAATATAGGTTTGAGATATAAATAACCATGCAAAAGCTTTAATGTGCCTCAAAATTACCTTGCGTCCTTACCTAGTACGAGAAAATATTCAAAACACTACTTATCATAATCATACTATTATTAATTTTATTTTTTTGTTAAAGGGCTTACTTATCATACTATTTTAAAGATCAATGAAGTATCATTATTAGAAAATCATACTAGCTAGCTATTTTATATATAACATATATACAAATAGAAATACAGTTTAGATATTATCGAACGATTCAACATTTTAGTTATTAGAATGAGAGATTGATACACAAGTTATCGAACGATTCAAAGCTAAGAAGGTTTTGTAGTACACTACCTAATTAATTAACTTCGTTTTTTTATTTACGATTTTAAATCATTCTCAGCAGTTCTCAGCAGTTTCTATGTATTAAGTAATATATTCTCTCGTTGGTGAGAAAACCACCCCTGTTCAGACGATATAATATATCGTAGTTTTTAAGAAATTATATTCTCATTGAAGTTTCTACTATATGGTTGAGTTACCGTGTCGATTGACAAAATCAAACACGTATACGTACGATGCGAGCGATCATTATATGTTTATGTGGTCTGTGATACTTTTGCTTTATTTATTAATATATATTTTTGCCACTAACACTATTACGTATTATATATATCAATACTTTCAATCTTATTATAGTAAAATTTGTATCATACTATAATTTACAGAATTACAGTAAGCATAAGGTCTTCCTGAGTCCCAATTAATCATGATCACCCTAATTACATTAGGGTCGTAATAGACTTATATTAGTTAAATAGAAGACGAAAAAGAGAGAATATCCTTTATAATGACATCTTCAAAATTATTTAAAAACTAAGTCCATATACGTTACATAATTGAGGAGTATGTAGTCCAATCAATTAGTCTGTCTTGGCTCTCTTTTAAGATACTGACTGTTTTTTTCTTTCATATATGAGTAAAGAGTCGTATTAATATTATCTATTGTCATACTTATAACGGTGCAATTCGTATATAGTGTCATATTGATCATAACTCATAAGCATCCTTTAATAAAAATTTAAGAGAAATTAATTTTAGCATAGTTATCACAACAATATATAAATATGATCGGGCAAAGTGGGAGTGTTCAAAAAAGTATCTTACTTTGACAATTTACTAACATTGTTTTGTAAATTTCTGCTCTTGTGGTCATTTGATGTAAGGTTATATATATAATATCGACTATATATATATATTTCCAAGCTGAGTTGAAAAGCGAAAGGCCTACATCACCTCTAACATCACTAGAAACAAAAAATACATTATCAATTAATGGATTAATTAACTACAATATATTTTTATGATGAAATTTTGAAATGCTACAGTTGCTAGTTTATTTTTATTTTTAATAATCACTTAAGCTAAGGCATTACGTTATCGGATTATTCTTTTTTCCTCATCTAGATGATGCTGGACTTTTTTTTTAATTAATGTTTTTAATAAACCACTTAAGCTAAGTTTTTCATTTTTTAAAATTTATTTTTCTCGGCATTTTCTAGTCTTACTATGATCTGATGATGAGCTTGAGGAAGTGGGAAAACGCACAAAAAGGCTACAGATTGTGTAACATGATTGAAGGTGGAGGCACACCATTGCATACGCCTTAGATGAGCTTAAAGAAATGGGACTTCATTTGATTGCTCACCCACTTTACCTCGCTCTATGCATTCACCCACTCGAGCTCTTGTCGATGTTCTCAAGATTCTTAAGGAAATATAAAGGGTAACACCAAAGATCACTTTGGAAAAATATGATTTACTTTCGAAGAGTCGTTTAACCGTTTGGTGAACTTGAGCTCATGGTATGAGCTCGACACTACGTACTTGAAACATCATAACCGATTGGTACAACAAAGTCAACAAACTCTTTATAACTCTGTTTTTTTTCCTCTGTTTCCCGGAGAAATGTGTCTGAAACTCTTTACAAGGGATCGTAACATCTCGTAAGCTTAACTATGTAAAGTACCTGTAATTAAATCACAACCAAAGAATTCCAAGGATTCTGAGATCTAGGCAACCATAAGCTAAACTCATAACTCCATGATCATCACTAATAGTCTCACACCATCCCAAGTTTAATTACTGCAACTGATGATTGCCGTAATTCCCAATAGCCTGCACTGCACACATCAAGGTGAAACAAATCCTATCAATTCTGCCACTTTTATGGCAAAAAAAGACTAGACTGAGAGAGAACATTGAAAAACAGATTCATCTCGGTCATATCCAGCATTGACACATCTGCAAAGATTCACAACTTTAAGCTTTCTGCTGCAGAATCTGGTCAAATACGAAATAGCAGTATTGCTTTTGAAGAAAACAAAAACTGTAAAAATGTACAATGAGCAAAGAAATTAAGTAAAGTAGAAATATCTCATTCACACCAATTAAAAAAAAAAAAGTGAATTAAGCTAAATAACACAGAAATCCCAAATGGAGAATCAAGTCTCAGTAGCTTGGAAGATGACGAAAACATAACTTAATGAAGAGAGGAGAAGAATCTTGGAGGCTTATAATAAGAGGTATCCTCTAGCTGCATCCTCCTCCCTATTGAACGCCTTCAAAACACAGAGCAATATATAGTTGTCTACAGAGAGTGTCAAGGAGCATATATATAAGAAAAGTCTCAAGAAACACAAGAGTTCACTGATCATACAAATGATGGTATTGGAGAAGACGGTATTTAAATTAGTATACTAGCATGATTTACATTACAAGAAGCAATCACGGATGATGATGAATTGAATCACTGAGTTTGTAAAAATAAAAGGAAAAAAATAGAAATCCATTAAGGTTTAAACTTTAAAGTCACAAGTGCATATTATTATTACAAGTGCATGCTTGGGGAAATATAATTAAAAAAGAGGGACATCCGGACATGGGGCTTATTCTTCTCCTTCTTCTACTTCTTCGTCTTCTTCTTGTTTTTTCTTTTTAGTTCCAGATTGATTGGAGAAGCAGCGGCAGTTGTCTGCATGCTGAGTCAATTGAAAGCAACACATGTATCAGAGCTACCATAAACATAGATCACCACATAAGCACCTACTTCTTAAGTACTAGTCCCAAAGATAAAAAAAAGAAAAAAAGAATCAAACCTTAGTGGTGGTGGTGGTAGTAGCCTCAGTGGACAAGTCGTCTTTCTCCTGTAACAAGAGAAACAACAAATATGATGAATAAGCCGATCTATATGGACAAAATTATCTAACAACTCGTTTCAATATTTAATATTAACCTTAGTTACAGATTCACCGGAGGCCAGCTTAAGCTTCGCTTCCTTACGACGCCGCATCAACATCAGGCATCTTCGTTCAAAACATTCTTCACGCTCCTTGGGTAGACCAAGTCCACAACGACCAATTCGAAAATGATGACGACGGTTCATTGCGAATTTGCGATCAAATCCGACGGTGGGAAGCCCTAACTATTTCTTTGTAGCAAAGTAACAAGGAAACCCTAACTCTCTCGAAACTACTACCAGGTCGTTTTTTCTCACTAAAAACGACACGCAGTCTATAGAGAGAATAGGGAACATGTTTTGGGTCGTTTCTCGTTTTTTTTTTTTTGCTTTGGGCTTTAATATTGGGCTTGGCATTGTCTGTTGCGGTCCATATTCTACACACGTCTAAGATATTGACGCGTGTTTTGCAGCTCCGGTAGAACTCAACTGAAGAAACATCAGACTCTACTACAATGGCTGCCTCCACCGCCGTGACTCACGGAGCTTCGTACCTGCTTCCTTCACCAACCGCATTAGCGGTATCTTCCCGGAGATTATCTTCATTCCCGCCGTCGAAACGATTACACCTCAGCTATCTGCGGCGGAGAGTCAATGCACCATCGCCGAGGCGCGTCGTGGTTCGTGCCGCCAGAACTGAGTCAAGTGGAGTAAAATTAGGAGTTAGGGCTCCCAATTTTGAGGTAAACATTGTCACATTCGCGTCGCCGGAAAAAAAACAGAGGAATTTTCTAATCTTAGAGATATGTGTGTGTTTGTGAGTGAACTATAGCTTCCGGAGCCGCTCACTGGAAACTTATGGAATTTAGAAGATTTTGAACTGTATCCATCTCTACTGGTTAGTAATTGAAGTACTTTTCATTTGTTAATTTAAATTTCTGTAATTTGTAATCTAAACTTCTGCTCTAGAATCTTGAGTTTGTATGTTTTTTCGTGGTTCATGACATTGTTAGGTTATGTTCATCTGCAATCATTGCCCGTTTGTGATTCACTTGAAGAAAGACATTGTAAAGCTTTGCAATTTCTATATGGAGGTTGACAAACATTTGCTTCTCTGTTCTTTCCGTAGCCTGACTCATTATGTATTGGAAGCTTAGCTATATTGTCTGTTTCTGCAGAAGGGTCTTGCTGTTGTTGCAATATCTTCAAATTCTGTTGTAACTCATCCTCAGGTTTGTGTCTGTGACTCTCTAGTGTCAGTGTTTATTCGTTGAGATGAGGTTTCTATATGGTTGTTCATATTCGTTTCCTTTTCACAGGATGGGCCTGAGTTCATGGCAGAGGATGCAAAAGCTTTCAAGTACCCATTTCCTTACTTGTATGATGAGGTATCCTTTGTCTGTTCGGATCTTCTCCTTCTCTTTTTTTGAAAATTTTCAGCATTGTTAGTTGGAATTTTCTGATCTTTTCGTGACATGTTCCTCTTGCCTCAGTCACAAGAGGTTGCAAGAGAATTTGGAGCTGTTTGTACCCCTGAGTTTTTCTTATATAAGAAGGTAATTTGTGATCATATCTTTCATTAAAGATTGGTAAGTAGCAGGGGAAATATCTACTGTCTTGAGTATATTGTGATTACTTCCTGCTAAAGCACGGAATGAGGAACTCACAAAGCTCTTATATTTGAAATATAAGGATGAACTTGTTGGATTTGGGTTGTTTATATCATGAATTCCTTTTCAAGCTCAAAATAATACTCCTTATTTTGTTAATTAACTCTATCTCAACTTGCTCTCGTGTGTCAAATGGAGCAGGATGGCCGTAGACCATTTGAGCTGGTCTATCATGGTCAATTTGATGATTCCCGGCCTAGCAATAACATACCAGTAACTGGGAGGTTTGTTATCTATGTTACTGCTTTTAACATATTCCAGAGAAGTAGTTATATAGTAAAACCTAACCTGTTATATTTGTGTAGGGATCTAAGCCTGGCGATTGATCTTGCCCTTAGCTGTCAACCAATACCATCAAATCAAAAGCCAAGGTACACTTATATTTGATACATTTCTCTTCGCTTCTTTTTTTACAATGTCTATAGCCTTTGCTGACAACTGAGACTCTGTATTTGGTATCTTAAAGTGTTGGTTGCAGCATAAAGTGGCATCCAGAAACAGAGTCTTGAGCTAAGACATTGACCGTACCTACAAACTGCATTGTATTGGAAACAGATGCGCAACATTGTTTTCAGGCAAGTTGTTTGTTTGATATTAATTATGTTCCATAAACTCAGATCCATATTATGTCAGAACCACCGAATGTTGCTGAAAATTGTTAAATATAGTTTCTGTTACGATAGAGGTGCAAACAGCAAACTGAACTTCCTTTCTTGTTTAACGGAACCTGAAGCAGAACTGCCAAGGTTTGCATTTTAACATATATGAATAGTGAGATTTTAGAATTTTACAGGTATGTCCTAAAACCGAAACTGAAAGGAGAGGAAAAGGCAAAGGAGAAGAACTTTAAAAGCCTAGCCGCAAAAAGAAGATAGAAAGTGTAAGTTGTATCCATTATTCAAGTTTAATATACAGTAATCTACTCCACGGATCCTATTTCGTGGGATCGTTCATGTGTGATATAATTCATGAACAATATAAGAATGAGTATTGGTGTAAATAGTACGTGTTTTCTATATATAATAAATTAAGTATATGTGATCAAAATGAGAGAAACCATCTTCCTCTTCCTGGTCAAATCCCAAATCTGGTAAGATCTGTTGAACTCCAGTTATCACCATTGATCATGAAGCTCCCCTGAGAAATCAGCTGGTCTGGCTCCTCTGAGAATGAGCATTCCAAGATCTCTTGAATCTCTTTGTCATCGAGTAAACCCTGGAACTCGAAGATCTCCTCTCGATCTTCTTGGAGAAACTGACCAAAACCTCGTTGATCTTCTTCGGTCTTCTGGGATAGATGACTGAATTCCCCGTAAAATCCGAGATCCACATCGGTTTCTTGGCAGATATCCCAACTCAAGGAATCTAAAGCATTAGTAGTTGTTGTCACCGGTGAATCTTGATCGGATCCAGTAGTATTATCTGTACTGGAAGGGCTCCGATCAGTCACGTACTGCGCGAAAACCGCAGCCAAATCAATATCAGAACCAGCAGGGGTGGACTGAATTCCATCGTCTTGGTTAAGAAGACCATCAGGCCGATTCTCGTTCCGACCAAACCTTTTGTGACTGTTCTGTCTGCTGCGGCTTCTCTTGCGACAGCCTCCACCTACAGGAATGTTACGGAGAGAACCTCCTTTGGTCCAGTAACGTCGGCAACCCTTACAGAAGTATCTAGGCTGAGACAAGCTGTAGTTGTTGTAATAACAAAACTTGGTGTTGGACGATGCACAACGAGGACAAGGCGGAGCAGCAGTAGCCTCTTGTCCATAGGAAAGCTTCCACTTCTCCGAAATTTCCATCTCCGGTGATGAAAACTGGTGCTGCTGGTAGCTGTTGTGTCCAATGTACGGCAACATTTTCATATACTCTCGTTTAAAGGAATTTTGGTGTGTGAAGATTGGAAAATCTAACAAGTGGGGCACTTGATGGTATATTTGAGTACATCTAACTCTATATATATGGATGTGTGTGTATGTGAAGGTAGAGATGTGAGGAGGAGCATGTGTGTGTGGAAGCAGAGGTGCATCGATAGCTGTGAGAAGGCTTACGAAGTAAACGTGGGCGGTTGCCGAGCCGTGCGTCTCCTTTTCCGTTTCTTCTTCATCAAGTTACCTTCGAATTTGGTTCTTCGTAGTAGTTTTCACCTTATATAATGCGAAATGCAATAAAAATAGTTATCATTTATTTAACCATTTGATCATCCAAGTTTTGATAAGCGAATTTGAAGAATTTCTGAAAAGTTTCTGTTGAGGCAACTTGAGATTTATGTTTTCATATCATACCTGACAAATCATTTGAACAAACAAAAAGTATACAGTATATGCGAATTAGTGCTGCTATCTGATCCTTTCAGTTACTAACAGTCGTGATAGCACCTCTACAATCTAACATTTTATAAAATGTAAAATATTAAGTGTTTTAATATATATACACTACAATTACTCTCTTATAAAATATTAGCGTAGGGGGATCACGATCATATTATATAAGTGTGGAGATGATTAGAGTCACTTACATTCTCAGCATCTCGTTCTCGTGAACCGCAAGACACTACTTGATTTGTTAAACAAAGGCATCGTAACATACATTTGATCACTTGCACTCTCTTCTACATTAATATCATTTTTAACACTTCCAAAGTTCCAAACGTCGGTATATTATTATTGTCATTTGTCATATTTTTTAAATACATTGACCAAATTTTTACTTCATACCCTCAAATCTAATGAGTTGTTACTTGCATGTATATATATAGTCTTTATATTTGGGGTTTAATGAGTAATGATGATCTTTGGAATAGCGGGGAACATGAACTCTATTAATTAGTATTATTATTTTCATTACTTAGCCAAAATGTTTATTTGTTGAAATAAAAGTACAAATGTAGATTAGACCGTTGAGAGCATAGATTATGTAACCATAATACTAATAATAATATAGTACTTGAAAGATTAAGAAAGATTAACGCCAAGATTAAGGGCCACACGCACGGGAGAACACGTGCTTTGTAGCATCGTGTCGACTTATGCTTCTCTTATTTCTCTCAATCCCTTCACATCTACGAAGTTGAATTCTCTTTCTTTCTTATATTCCCCCAAGTTGAATCCTCTCTTACGTATTTGTATTATTTTTTAGCACTATAGTTATATCATTAATATAAAAACCCCTTAATTGTTATTTATGTTGATCATTCACCAGTCACCACCGATAAGTTTGATTGGGCAGCCGTAAAACTAGATCTATGTTAAGCTCCGATCCCTATATTTGTTTGGCTTTACGATACGATATCCGTAGTCTAATGATTATAAATAAATATTTAATACACATCAAAATTGTTAAATAATACGAAGTCAAACCTTAATTCTTTTATTTCCCGATGGCATTTATTCATCCCCAGCTGTATATTATTAAATCAAGTTTGACTCCAAGATGATTTTGACTTCAATTATATACATTAGTAGTACTTTCTTGTATTTATTTGATATAAACAAAAAATAATAATTTGCTACAAGTTTTGCAACTTAATACTATCAAAGAAAAATTAAAAAACAAAAGGTTTACGTGATGCTTATACTCTAAAAGTTTTGGGTTTGGGATTTGTTGCTAGATCTAATAATATTTTACGTGATGCTACTTGTTTGTTACATTGACTAGTCATATTTGTGAATGTATTCTACCAATCAAATATTGATGATCTTCATGTTGGTTCACTATCTTATTTCCAACAATCTTAAAAATATAACTAAATCATCTTTAGATTCCTGTTTAACCGATTGAATGGTTGAAAATCTATGTGAAAGTTTGTATGGAGAGACTAGATTAAAGGCGCTAGATCCGATATATGGCCAAGAACTTAGCTAGGGGCGGTACATCAAGGTCTAATGAGCAACAAGTTTATCGAAAGGTTTGCTTTTCGAATTCGACCCTCTTCGATCTTTCATTATTGGAGTGGCAAGCGGTTAGACTAAGATGATCATTAAGCTGATTGATAGGAAGAGCCACGTTGTTGTGGTAAATGCCCCGAACTATTGTAACATATGGGTAAACCCGATAAATGGGTTAAATCAGGATCTGGTCATGTGAGATTGTGAGTAAGCAAAGAAAAGTATGGTACGTATAGTTGTAAGGAGTACTTTCTATATTGGGCCTTTGGTTGGGCGATACCTTTTTTACCTTCATGCATTTGGATAAACAAATTGCTTCTTGCATCATTTCTATATTTCTTTTTTCTTGTTTCTTATAACATCTTTTTTTACTAATATTATATTACATGCATATTTATTTTGCTAAATCTATTTCACACGAAACATATACGTGTATGGAAAATATACCATCTACTGTAACTGTATATATGGAAAAGGGCTACTGGATTTATCAAATTTGGAAACGAAAATCTATAAGATTTATCAAATCAAAAGATAGAACCGATTTTGCCAATACTGTAATATTTCTAACTTTTTTTCTCTTTTCATGATTTTGTTTTTGTAAAGCGATATTAGTGCAGATTTTGTATCCCAATAATGTGGTAACAGTAGTTGAATCCTCATATTTAGCCGTAATATCAATTCAAAACTTGACAAATCAGTAAACCAAATAAATTAAAGCTCATTCAAATAAGGAAATACCTATTACTGACACACATTATAGTCATTAAAAAGTTCTCTAGAAAGATCAAAACTTTGGCATCGATTGGTAACCATGATTTAGGAAAAAAATGAGAAGGAATGTGACATTCCTCTTCATTCCTCAATTTTTTTACCATTTACAAGAAATCATTTTTCCACATCATTCCTCTACATTCCTCACAAAATGAGGAACAATAGAACAAAATGTTCCTCCCCAAAATTGATGAGGAACAAA